TCTCTCTCTCTTTCTCTCTCTCTCTCTCTCTCTTTCTCTCTCTCTCTCTCTCTCAAATGACCCTATAATATTGATGGATCAGTGCAATATGAATATGAAGAAATACTATTCTACTGATTATGAATATCCAAGACTTATAAACAGAAGCACCAAATGTCATGATATCACCTAAGTTTTATTATACAGTATTTAAAGTTTGTAAGATCTAGACATTAAAGATATGAGTTTTTCTTCCACAAACTGAAAGTTCACACATGTGCCTAGACGTGTTTTATTGATTCTATTCTTTATTTTGTATATTTCTTCCATATTTTATAAATTTGTGTTGGTTGATTATGATTAGTTGAGCAGCTAAATAGGGATTGTGAAAAATAATTTATAGCTAACTTGTATTTTATGACACAGATTACATTTCACCAACTACTTGTACAATTTAGATTTCAGATAATATCACCTGTATCCTACTTTCAGAGAGCGTGGGTGGTTGTAGCATGTATGCAGTAGTGTATGTCCGCGCTAGTGAGGTAGTTACAGCCAACATGCAAGGCCACCTTAAGTTATGGGATCTGCGGGCCCAGCAGCCAGCCAAAGCAACTCTTCTCAGCCCAGATCAGGTTAAATTTTGAAGGAAATTTTATTTATCCATATATGCAACAACTGACTCACGGTAAAGTAGGCTGTATTTCCTGTTACCTTTCTTTCTCTTCCCTTTTCTCTTCTCTTTCCTCTTTCCTTCTCTCCCACAATCTCCTATACCCCCAACCTTTACCCCATCACCATCCATATATCTCCTGTCTTCTCCCTCTCTTTTCCCACCACCCTTTACATTGGTATTTTCCTAGCCTATTTTGGGTGCAACCCTAAAGGCAGTCTTAACCTGGACCAGCAACCCTAAATGTATGAACAATTAGTAAATCCAACCTGGCCTGTCCTTTACACCCATCCACATCCTCTATCTCTCCCACCTTGCTTTCTTTCCCTCTCCATTCCTTTCTAATGTATTCCCCCCTGCCTGATTTCATAAATTTTCTTTCCAGATTGCAGTATGTCACCTTGCAGGACACCCAACTCAGCAGCACCTTGTGGCAGCTGGAGGAGAAGACGGAGCTATGGCCATATGGGACATGAGGAATATAGCTCAGCCTGTCACTCTCATTTCTGCACATAATGGACCAAGTTAGTGCTCTACATTAGAAACACAAAAGTTGATACATATTTTGTAAAAGCTACACAGCAGAAGCTGCATGTAAAGTACAAGGTGATAGACACAACTTGCAAGTAAAAATCAGTTGCTTGCTTTCTTCTCTCATTCTGGTGTTTATTTTCCAGTTACTGAAGTACGATTCCACCCTGCAGCACCAGATCATTTGTTTACATGTGGTTTAGATGGTCAACTTTTGCATTGGGATGCTTCTGCCTCTGCACGGCCAACACCTGTGTCTTTCAAGGGTCCTCGGGATCCTGCAGGTGAGTTGTACCTGTTTTTATTGTGAGTGGATAAGAATGTTTGAGATAGGCAGACAGACAGAGTATGAGAATGAGTATGAGTATGAGTATGAGTGGGTGCAAGAGAGAAAGTGTGAGTGGGTGCAATCATTTGCATGTGTATGCAAGCTTGAATGGGTGTTTGTGTCCTGTGTATAGCTGTATCACTTTATTTATGCTGTTTTCATATTATGAAGAGGATCCATCTTCCATTGAGTATTTTTTCTTTCAAAGGATCATGTGAATTTTGTGATACAAAAACCTCATGTAATTATCTTCATATATTATGCTCCTATCTTTGAATTTCTCTAAAAAAAAAAAAAATGTCCCAACAGGAGCAAGTATCACAGTGTGGCTAAGCAGTGATGTTGCCCGCGGAGCCATCGATACCACTTGTATAATTCCACAGTCATCCTTACCCATCAACTCACTGGATATTGAAGGGCCAACACTTGTTGCTGGTTCAGATAACGAGTCCATTTATACAGTCAGAAATGTGTTGCTTTATTAAAGTTTGTTATTAATATTTACTTGAAAGTTGTGCTCGTTTTGTTTATTGATACTGAAAACTACTTATGTACAAGGCATTTTGATATATGATCAAGCACTTGCTATCTGTCTGAGATGGTATCATTACTTTTTTTCTTTTTTTTATATATATATATATCAGTATGCAAAGCTACAATGATAACATTTAGGTGCTATTCTGATATACAAAAGTCAGCTGCTTCTCTCCTACAGATTTTAATATAATATAGAGCACTCATCTCAGTCTGGTTAATGAAGTAATGTTGCTGAAATTTATTGGCATTTTATTTCCAAATTTATTCATTTCTAGTACAGGGGGTCCACATATATTTTACTTGTGTTCTGTTGTTTATTTTTCCTCTTGAAATGTACTTTTTGTATCTTGAAAATAAAAGACATTATAGTACTGTAAATGTTTAATATTCATCATAAAACATGATTCCTGTCAGTCATCCTTACACTGCAAAAAACAGCAGCTTCAAATACATTTCATATGTTATTTGCACACCTATAATGCAAATTATACTAGAATAAGTCTAAAAGACATCTCTGAAGAAAAAAAAGGAGGGAGTATCTAACAATTACGACAGATTTAGAATTCTTTGGCTCTCTTCGTATCTTATGTTTTTCAAATCTGGGTTTAAAAAAAATAGTTCCCAAAGTATTTCAAAAATTTTAAAAAGATTGAAAATTATCTCATTCTGGAAACCCTGAAACAATCCTAATATATTTTGTACAAAATATATTAATACCTGTGAAAGTATGGAATTAGAATCAATCTCACGACTATTTCCACTCTCCTTCAAGTGGGTTATAGATATATACCTGAATATACAAGAAAATATGCACATTTAGTAAAAAAAAAAATGTAACCTCACCTGATTGTTTTATGAATATGAAGTTCAAAGACATCATAGTTTAGGGATCATTACTGCTCAATGATAAAAATATATAATATTAATCTATAAATAATACTCAGATCCAAATGGCAGGCCATCTACAAAGACCTTCTCAAGATTGCTCTAAATTATATATTAAAAAATCAAGCATAAATATTCACAAATAAATAAATAATCCCTTTGACACATTACTAGTAATATTCTTATAAAGTTGCTTTAAAGTTATTTTTAAAGAAAATAATGAACAAATTTTTAAAAATATGGGGAGGAGCTGAAACAAGTAATTTACACAAAAAACATTAACATACTGTAACACAAATCAATCCATGTCGACATTTAGAAAATAAAAAACATAACAGATTGTCCCATTATCAAAGCTTTTGTGCCTATTATTCCAGTCTACCTCCATTCTAATCTCTGTATTAAAAGATAATAATAATTCTTTCAGTCCACAAACATCTGGAATGATTAGTAAACTTTACAGACAGTATACTAATCATACCTTTTCTTTCAGTATGAGGGCAGTATCATTACTATCTCAATACATTTTCATGATTACAGTAATTTATAAGGCTTCTTAAGTTTTTGCCAGACATTTTCATTTAAGAACTTTGCAAGAACATACAATCTAACTTGTAATATAGTTATGTTACATCTAGCAGTTGTTATTTGATGCTAAATCAAGTTGACGAACAATTACTTCTCGGTCTTTGATGGCTTTCCATGCAATGTCCTTATCTTTCTTAGAGGGGGTCTTCTTTTTTTGACGTGCAGCTGCTATTGTACGATATGCCTCTAAAACCTGTTGGGAAAAAAAAGAAAATGGATCAAACATTTTCATGAGGGGCACAAACTATTAATGGATCATACTCAAACATTTTCTAATTATGAAAGCAAAAAATATTTTTAAAATATTGATCAATAAGGTCTAAAGGCAAATCATATAAACTCGGAATACATTCGTAGAAACAATATGGATATTCAAAACAATGTAAAAAATTTCACCATGACACAGTCCAATCTATTTTATTTTTCTCTTCTTTTCTACCCTACACCTAAGATTAAATAAACTAGACCTTTGTATCATACCTTTTGATCTGCATCTCGAAGCTTCTTTTTCAAATCATGGCGAACTAAGGATTCACGGGCTAAGGTTAACAAACGACTTAACTGCTGCGCATTATGGGCTGATACTGCACGTAGTTCTGCCTGACATCTCCTCAACTCTGATAGGATTTCATCATCATCGTCCTTGGACACAGAAAAGAGATAATTAACTTTTTCTATAATTTTCTAATAATACACAAGATGATATGATCTGCAATTAAAGCACAATATTCTATTGCACCAACAAATAATTCTCTTACTTCATTTCCATATTCTGCCTCCAAGACCCCTTGTTCTTGAAGTTCTTTCTTAATGCGTTTCTCCAGGCTGGAAGCACTTGCCAGCCCCAGTGACCTTATCATCCCCGGTCGACTTATGCCCAGTCCATCTACAGCTGTAAAGCATGCACCCTTTATCAAAACATAAATGCAAGGACCCTACACACAGTAAAAATATACATCACCATAATATTATTTCATATTTGCATTATTATGTGCCATAATCAAATGAGAACTCACCTTGAAATTAAAACATATATAGTGAATACATACCTTTGTTTTCTATATCAGACACTAAAACATTTTCTTCTACTAAACCAGCAATTAGTCTTTGGGTCAGGGGACCAAAAGGTGCTACATCATCATTACACCTGCAAGAAAATTAAAGACTATTTAAAATATACTGTGTACCATACCTAAAAGGTTAATTCAGTGTCACACAGAAATGTGATACATTTCTGTATGAAATCAAAATTATGTATACTGTATATCTATTGCATTTTTTAACATCTACTTAGTGGAAAAAAATAAAGTCCATATTTTCTGTACCTGACACCTCTTAGGTCTGATGTTACACCAATTCAAACAAATGTGTGAAGTGGAGACATACAGAACAAATATATTCTACAACTTACTTTTCAATTATACCTTGTATGCTTCCTAAACAAAAAAATTCATACACAGTTAAATAATTATTAGAAAATATGAAAAGATAATACTGGCAAAGTAAATTGAAGACAAGAGAAGAAACATTACAAAAAAAATAATCAAAATATCAAGAAGTAAACATCTTTCTCTAAATCTTTCAAGCAGCTACTAATAAACAGAGGAAAATAAAAAAAATATAACAGGAATCTCGAAACTCACCCATTCATATCCACTTCCTTTAACAATTTATCAGACATATCTGAGCTACTTGAATCTGTCTTAACATTTTTCTTCTTCCCCTCTGCAAGTTTTACACCTTCTTTCTGTTCATCCTAGTAGGGGAGTGGGGAATACGATTTAAAACAGGGTACATGTTGTGCAACAGCTTTAGCACATTATCAAGTATAAACAAGTCTATTAGTCATAAATGTATATTTATACCATATGTATAACAAATTACTGATAGCCGTTTAAATTTTTCATTTCTGTTTCACAATAACAGCACTAAAATTGATAAATCATTAAAAATTATGCAATCACTCTCATCAGGATACTTACTTGCAGGTCTTCTTGAGCCCAACGTAATGTGTAGTGTCTTCCTAGTGGAGGTGTTTTATAGTAGTCACTGTCATCATTTGGATTGTTGATCAAATCTTCAAGCATCTGTTCAATGACAAACCACTTGATTAATTTCAAGTCAAAGTCTCTACTTAAATTTGCATAGATTTTATCAATCCTCTAATAAATACTCCAAGACAAAATTCTCATCAAAAGAGCATTCCTATTTTTGCTCACAGCATTCCAGGTCTCACCTTTATATCATCAACAGTGATTTCTTGACAATATTGCTCTACAGTTGCCCAGAAGCGGTTGGTGATGTCATTTTTGGGTGGTGGAGGTTTGGGCTGCTCTGGGGGCCCAAGGTCAGGCACATCGAACACTGGTTCATATTTCTGTACGGAACACTTAACCTGAAAGTTTAGAGAATAAACAAAGACCATAACAAAAAAATCAAACATAGGAAAACCACAACAAAAGATAATGCTAATATATTTTAAAATCAACAAACAGAAATTACATCATGTGGAAAAAATAAATAAATAAACCAAAAATAAATTAAGTTGAATATTATACACAGTTCTATACTGTAACAAAAGATTTTCAGAAAAAAAAAAAAAAAATTTAAGAAAAAGTAATTATGTATCACGTTATTTATCCAATACAAAGTACAGAAAAAATGTAATCCAACCAATACACAGTACATAAGAAATGTACTTCTTTCAAGGTAAACAATATCATATCACCACAGAACAATATATGCAAAGAAGTTATAAAGATATTTTTTCCAAATCAAATTCAAAAAAATTAGATGAGACTAACTTTATTCACCTTAGCCGGCTTCACACCCGGCGGAGGGCCAGGGGAGGCTAGGACATCTCTAGACTTGCCACTGGAGTCCTTCATCTTCTTGGATGGTCTGTCAGGGTCATCACGTTTCATCTTCTTCCCAGGAGAAACTGGCTGTAAATAGAACAAGTAGGTTCAACACAATATAATGGGAGAATCTAGACTACAAGGTATACTGAAATGTGAACAATATATATTATAGTGGTACATACAGTACTACTATATATACTGAAGTTTTCAAATATAATCTTTGACAGTACCTACAAAAAAA